AGATAAAAATTCAAGTGTTCAGGCTCTTGGTCAAAAGCCATTTCCACCTGTCCTCTTTCATCCTTAAATTATCTTCCAAGCTGCGCTCTCATGTACGGCCTGCCAAAAGTGTGTTTTATTTCGAATCATGATTTGGCATTGCTTGCTGCATCTGGACCCTGATACTCTTCAGACCCATGACCTTAGGAGCAGAGCTTTGGAGCCAGCACTGAGGGAGGAGGGCTAAAGGGAACGTAGAAATTCCAGTTTAGACCTGCCCTGGAGAAACTATTTCCTACCCAGCCCTCCCTGCCATCGTCCGTCTCCAATCACTTACCCAGGGACCCTTGTCGACGGACATTTCTTTTTAAACCTTCAGGCCCTTCTTTTCCACTGCCCTCTCCAGCCAAAAGGATTCTTAGAGCTCATAAGCTTCTCTCAGCACATGCCCAACCTACTTCTACCCAGGAACCAGCTGTCAGCAAGTTTCCTTGGGGGTTTGTATTTCCCTTTAACTTAAGTAGGTCATTGCACTAAAGGAGGTGTAAAGATGGAATGAATGAAAATAAGCTGCTGGATTTGGCTTGTGCGAGATTTGTGAAAAACGCAAGGAGATGGGCAGAGAGGCAGGGATGGGCTGGCAAAGGGAGTCCCCCTGTGAGCCTCCCCAGGACTCAGACTCAGACCTTACGGCATTCCTAGTCAGACAGGCAGAGTAAACATTCAAGGGACTTTAATCATAAAGACGTGAAGTCACTGTCTTGCCCGTGTCTATAGGCATTTCTTCTGAAACAGAGGAGAGAGCTCAGGGACAAGAGGTAAGCTATTTGGGAGGATACCATTTTGTAAGTTGAAAAGAGGTGTTTGGAGCTAAAAAGATGATTTGTGACCCAAAATGCAGAAGTCTTATCAATACAGTTGATTTCCCTCTAAGAAAAATCAACTTTGGGGGTGATCTAACTGTCCCATCTCCTTTGAAGAGTCCATATTGGTAAGCAGAGGGCTACTGTCCACACAATAAGCATCCCCAGTTGGATGCAGGGGGTTGGGTATAACACCCTGTGGTAGGCTGGATGAAACCAGAGCAAAATGACAGGGATGACCTTGTTGGGCAAAAAGGAAACATGGGCGGGGCATCTGGGTGGTTCAGTTGGTTAAGTGTCCAACTTCAGCTCAGGTCATGGTCTCACAGTTCATGAGTTCAAGCCCCACATCCAGTTCTGTGCTAACAGCTCAGAGCCTGGACCCTGCTTCAGATTCTGTGTCTCCCTCTTCTCCCTGCCCCACCCCCACTCACACACACTCTCTCTCTCTCTCAAAAACAAATGAACATTAAAAAAAATTTTTTTTCAAAAAGGAAACATGGGCAGTGTAGAGAAGGGAGCATTGCTGGCAGGAAGAAGGCTTATTCTCATAAATGAGTGCCAGGGCACTTTCAGGCACAGCTGGCTCTCACCTTCTTCTCTAGAGACCACCTAGAAGCCAGCCTCTGACCAAGTGCAGCAAAATCTACTCTGCCATACACTCTACCCCATCACCAGATAAGGTCTAGTTTGCCATTGCTTAGATACAGCTATTACACCTACCAGGTTCCAGAATGCAATGGAGATAGAAACATGCTGGGACCTCATTAAACTTATTGGTTTTATCACTGTGCCCCTAAAACTTTGGCTTTTAAGATATATAGTGATGCAGACTACAGATCTGTAGATAGTGTTCCTAAAGCTAGTCCACACTATTGGAGTACACACACTTTTCCATTCATTCACTCATGTATTAAATATTTGTAGAGCACCTACTAAGAAGCATCAGGCACTGGGTGAAGGGATACAAAGGTGAAAAAACTGCCCTCTTGAATTGCACTCTCTAGTCAGAGAACTTACCAAGAGAAATACCAATGTGAACCACGTATACAATTCTAAATGTTCTAAGAGCTGTATTTACAAAGGGTAAAAAGAAACAGGTGAAAATGATTCTAATATATTTTATTTAACTCAATATATTGAACACTTCATTTTGACATGTAATCAGTATTTGAGTTTTTAACTTTTTTATTTTTATTTTAGAGAGAGGGCACCAGCAGGGGAGAGGGACAGAAGGGGAGAGAGAATCTTAAGCAGGCCCCATGCTCAGCATGGAGCCCATTGCAGGACTTGATCCCACGACCTCAGCCAGTCGGCCTGAGTCAAAATTCAGAATCTGGTGCTCAACTGACTGTGCCACCCAGGAGCCCCAACATGTAATCAACATTTGTAAATTACTGACGACATATTTTACATTTTTTTTTCTATTAAGTCTTTGAAATCCAGCGTGTATTCCATACTTAAAGCCCATTTCTATTCAGACACTAAATTTTCATCAGAAGTATTTAATCTGTAAATTTCATAAACTTGCAGTTGATAAAGTAGGTTCACACGCCCAAGTTTTTTCAAACATACATAAGTTTTCTGCTAACTTTGTTAGTTCTTAAACATAAATTAATTTGTTGGAATCAAGATTCAGCTCAATGGTATGTGTACTGTTGGTACTATAACAAATCATCACAAATTTGGTGAATTAAAACAAAATGAATTTATTATGTTACAGTTCTGAACAGTTACAGTTCTGACTTCCTAAAATTGAGGTGTTCACACGGCTGCATCACATTTCTTTGGAAAGCTCTAAAGGAGGACCTTTCATTTTCCAGCTGCTATAGGCTGCCTCCATTCCTTGACTTGCCATCTGCTCCTCGTATCATTCTGACCTCTCCTTCCATCATCATACCTGCTTCTTCACCTTTCATTGTGATTATATTGGGACTAACTGGATAATCTCTTATATTGGGAATAACTGGAAAACTCTTCATCTCAAGATCCCCGACTTAATCTCATCTACAAAGTCAGTTTTGCCATATAAGGTAATATTCAGAAGTTTTAGTGATTAGGTCACGGGCATCTTTGGGGTATCTATTATTCTGTCTACTAGGGTATGTCAAGAAAGTGAAATAAGGCCACAATGGTGAATGTAAAGGGAACATGGAGAGTTATAGTGATGGTAAACAAGGAAGGAGCCCTATCAGCAAAGTTTTGTAGACCATGGCAGGGATTTTGTTCTGTATCTTAAGACAATGGAAAGTCATTGAATTTGCATTTTGAAAAAATGCATTCTAACTAAAAAAATTAAAAATAGGTTGAAAGAAGGCAAAAAACATTGAAAATTTGTTGAGACCTTGTGTAGTAATTAGATGATTGAACATAATGGCTTGGAATAAGGAGGTGGCCCTAAAGGTGGAGAGAAATGGAAATATTTGAGAGATATGGAAGAAGTAAATCTTGTAGGACTTGGCAATAGATAAGTTAAGCAGTGGGTAGTAAGGGTCAAGGCCATGTTAAAGATGGTACGTAGGGGAGCCTGGGTGACTCAATCAATTGAGCATCCAACTCTTGGTTTCAGCTCAGGTCATGATCTCACAGTTTGTAAGTTCCCCACAGCACACTCTGCACTGACAGTGCAGAACCTGCTTAGGATTCTCTCTCTCCCTCTCTCTCTCTGCCCCTTCCCTGTTCATTCTCCTTCTCTCTCTCTCTCTCTCTCTCAAAATAAATAAACTTTATATATATATTTTAAAAAGATGGCACATAGGTTTCTAACATGCTGAACTGGATAAATAGTGGTTCAGTTCACCACAACAAAAAAACACAGCTCAGACCAGGTTTGTTTGGGGGAAAAGGGATGTGGTTTTGAACATGTTGAGTTTGAAGTGACTTTAAGAGAACCAAACAGGGGCACCCGGGTGGCTCAGTTGGTTGAGTGTCCAACTTCGGCTCAGGTCATGATCTCCCAGCTTGTGAGTTCAAGCCCCACATCGGGCTCTGTGCTGACAGCTTGGAGCCTGGAGCCTGCTTCAGATTCTGTGTCTCCCTCTCTCTCTGCCCCTAACCCACTTGCATTCTGTCTCTGTCTCTCTTAAAAATAAATAAACATTAAAAAAATTTTTTTAAAAAAAAAGAGAGAGAACCAAACAGAAAGGTCAGTGGGTAGTTGGAGATAGAAATTCAGAGTTTCCTCTGTGTTGCAGAAGAATTTCAAAGCTTTGGTTTTTAGGTGGTTATTAAATCCTTGTGTATGAATGAAATCACCTAGAATAGAGGCCAGCAAGAAGAGTGTCTAGGACGTAGCACTGAGAGACCTGAACATTCAATGACCAGATAAAAAAGGCACCAAGATCCTACAGCATCAAAAAAGACAAGAAAGTAGTATTAAAAGAGGATGTCGTCAACAAGGTTGATGCTCCTAAGAATTCAGGGAGTGGACTTCTGGAAGATCAATACCAATTCACCTACACTATTAGTCCATAAACTTCGGTGGAACAGGTTACACCCTTGAGGTCAGGGGTAACTACCATGCCTCCCCACCAGGTTTAAGTAAACTATAGCCATGGTAACTGGTTTAGAGGTGGGCATGTAACCACAGAGTGTTAATGAGATCCATTTGTTGATACTTCTAGGAAAGAGAGTATCACTCTTTTCCACGGTCTTGAAACTTGAGGAGATACAGAGCCTGAAGCTGTTACTGCCATTTTGCTACCGGTATAGGACTAGAGGCAGAAAAGACAGATTGTGAGAAACCAAATATTTATGACATTTTTTTGGCTCCAACTCCAGCTGTGCCTGAAGCTTGATCTAGCCTACACTCTCAACTTAGATGAGCCAATAAATTCTTTTATTTTTGAATAAGCCAAGGAAGTACAAAATGTCACTTAGAATAGAAAGAATGCTAAATTCTATGGGAGGATAAATGAAATGTAACCTATGTTTAAGGCCTTTAAAGAAAATGCCTTATACATCAAGATGATCAAAGGTTGACAAAAATTCTTATCATAATCATAAGAGATTATGAAAGCAGATAAAAATATCTTGAGAGCAGGAAAATAGATTAAAATACCAGAAGAGTTTCTATGTTATGAACTCCAATTTGTGAAAGTCAGAAATAAATAGGAATATATTAAATTAGAATTAAAAATTATAGTCCCAGACTGCCTTAAAGTAATTTCTTTATTGTGACCAGAAATCTGGTTCCAAGGTTTTCTTGTTCTCTTTTGTCTTGAGCTTGTATCTTTCATGAGCCCTGAAATGGCAATTTTACAGATGCATGAATTATAATATTCATGATTTCCATGGCATTGTAATTGTACTCAGTAATTATAATTTTCATTGACACAAAAGTTACAGACTCCTGGGACTTGCTCAGTAGAACTTAAGGCCGTTGCTAGGCACCTCACAAAAGTGATTTTCCTCTTTGTGGGAATTGAAGATTTTGACCTTGAATAACTTTTACCTTTGGAAGCGAAAATTTACTGACCTTGTCTTCTATGGACCTGCTTATTTTTTTCATTTTAACTCCAGTATAGTTAGCATACAGTGTTATATTAATTGCAGGTGTACAATATAGTGATTCAACAATTCCATGCATCACCCAGCGCTCATCACAAGTGCACTCCTTAATCCTTATCACCTATTTCTCTCCTCTCCTCTTCTCTAGCAAACATCAGTTTGTTCTCCATAGTTGAGGCTATTTCTTGGTTTGTCTCTCCCTTTTTTTTTTCCTTTGTTTGTTTTATTTCTTACATTCCACATATGAGTGAAATCATATGGTATTTGTCTTTCTTTCTCTGATTTATTTCACTTAGCCTCATACTCTCTAGTTCCATCCATGTCATTGCAAATGGCAAGATTTCATTTGTTTTTATGAATGAATATTTCATTGTGTGTGTGTGTGTGTGTGCGTGTGTGTGTATACACAAATATATATACCACATCTTCTTTATTCATTCAACTATCTATAGACATTTGGGTTGCATCTATAATTTGGCTGTTACAAATAGTGCTGCTATAAACATAGGGGTGCATGTATCCCTTTGAATTAGTGTTTTTGTATTTTTAGGGTAAATACCCAGTAGTGTGATTACTGGCTCATAGGGTAGTTGGACTTTTAACTTTTTGAGGACCCTCCGTACTGTTTTCCACAGTGGCTGCACCAGTTTGCATTCCCACCAAAAGTGCAAGAGGGTTCCTTTTCCTCTACATCCTTGACAAAACCAGTTGTTCCTTGTGTTTTTTATTTTAGCCATTCTGACAGGTGTGAGGTGATACCTCATTGTAGTTTTGATTTGCATTTCCCTGATGATGGGTGATGTTGACCATCTTTTCATGTCTGTTAGCCGTCCATATACCTTCTTTGCAGAAATGTCTGCTCATGCTTTCTGACCATTTGCTAATTAGATTGTTTGTTTTTTGGGTGTTGAGTTATATAAGTTCTTTATATATTTTAGACACTAACCTTTTATCTTCTGTGGACCCATTTATTAAAAATTCACCACAGTGTGGGGCTGCCATGACTCCAGAGAATGGATCCAGTAGAAGAAAATCTACAGACATCTACTGAGTACTCATATACAGGACAATGTGCTAGGCAGACTCAAAGGCTTAAGGCATGGTTCTTGTTCTCACAGAGCTTGGAAACTTGCGGCAGAGGTAGGACATATTCATGAAAAGTCAAATATCAATATAAAGGAATATATAATAAGTGATCAAAAGAACTGTGCAAACAATAAGAACTTAGATGCTGAAAGAGCAAGAAATCAGTGTGGGATGGAATGCCTTGAGGGTAGGTACAAGTGAATGGGCAGAAAAGAAGTAAAGAGCTCCTCAGGCACAAAGCTCTGCGTAAACAAACAACCAGAGGGGGAAAGATGTTGACAGGTAACTGTATTATTATAGAACAGTCTGCTGAAGCAATGATTCTTACAGAGGTCAGTTGGGGAGAGGGGAGCTTGAAAAGACTGGAAGTCATTAAATGACAACCTACAAAATTTAGGCTACATCTTGTAGGAAATGAGACTGCTGAAGATTAAGTCAATGGAAACGGACCATCTCTCCTCCTCAGTATCAAAGCGCTCATCGCTGGTAACATGACAGCCTGAACTTGGTTCGTGTGTGAAATAAACTTTGTGTTGATCAACACAGTGTAAAATGTCAAGTGAGAAACTGCAGAGGTAAGGACTGGGTCATGGGAAATTGGGGCATTGTATTGACAAAACTAGATTTGCACCTTACGGTAGCTGCCATGTGGAAATGAGATTTAACAAGGACGAGACTAAAAGAAGCCCAGATACAAGGCCATTGCAAAGCCCTAGGCAAGAATTCATGAGGGCCTGTCCTAAAGTGGTGATCATAGGATTGGGGAGGAGATAGGTTCAAGGGCTCTTTAGAAGCCACATTGTTAGGACTTGATGATTATCACTGACTGTCAGGAGTGATGCCAAGGGAGGATTCTAGAATGACTCCCAGATTTCTGACCTGAGGGGATGAGGTTGTAAGTGGAACCATTAACCAGGATACAGGAAGGGGTAGCTTTGGGAAAGGAAAACATTGGGTTCAGTGTTGCATATTGTATAATCCAGGACTTGCTGGCTGCAAGTCCTGAAAAGCCATGTCAAACTACCTTGGGCAACTTCATGGTACATAAAGCCAGATGATGGAAAGGTATAGGTATCAAAGACTTCACAACTAAATCTAAAATTATCAGGACTTGCTCTCTGTCATGCCCTCTCTCTCTCTTCTTTTCATTGCTCTCCCTCTCTGCTTGGCTTCTGCCTGTAGTGAGGGCTCATTCTCTCAAGGCCCTCCAAGTGGCAAGGGACATGTCTGCCAGCAGTCTGGAATCTAAAAAGAAAGAGACCTATAGCTTCCACTGCTGCATTGAAAAGCCCCAGGAAAGAGACACAAAGGAATAAAACAATGAATTAAATGGTCTAAGTCTCTGGTCTTGAGGAATTATAGTCATAAAAACATAGAAACTTGAGGCCATCGCCAGTACCTCCAGAAGGCCGAATCCTGGCACATATTAAGAGTTCAATATATGCTTGTTAAATCAAAAGATGATTAAGGGCACTTTTCATGAGTAACATCTTTTAATAAATAGTTTGGTTGCATACATTTTGTCTATTGCATAGATTAGAGCAAGGCAGTCCTCTTTCCCCACACCCAACTCATGTGCCAAAACGTTACACATAGGTGGAATTTTTGGATAGAAGGGCCAGTTTCTGTCTGCAGTCATACTCTATTCCCAATGCCTGCGACAGCTCCTTCCAGCTACAGGAGTCAGAATACATGTTATACGTCTTATCCAAAACTCCTTCCTCCCCACCATGACCACCACTCCTATCATCACCTTGAGATCTTGCCAACTCATGCTCCATAATATTATCTACCACATCCCCAGTTAGGAGAGAAGGCTCAAAGCCCTAGCAGAGCACTTCTAAAGACCATAAAACAAACTTTATCTCAGTAAAGGCTGGTTTCTCTTCATAATTGAGTTCCTGGATGGACACACTCAACAGTTACAAACAAAAACTAAAATCAGCTTCCAGATCTACGCAGTGTATCTTCAGTATTGGAGCACATGACACTCTTCACCTTTTGTCTGAATCTCAATATATTTATTTAGTTTTATTCTATTTTTATTTAGTTTTATTTGTGTAGGCTGTCAGTAATACTTATGGAGGGCTACTTTATTATGCATGATACCATACTAAACACCAAAGGATATATATAAAAGCAGCTAGGATTCCCCAGAGCACAATCAAAAGAGTGACGAGAACAGTAATTATTTGCTAAATCTAGATCAGACCCCTCCATCTCAGTTTCTGAATTCCAGTGTCCCTGAACCTCTTCTTTCTGATCCTAGGAGATCCCACACAGATTCATAAATGGCCATGATCATTTTTCTCCTACTTTATGGCAGCTTCCAGTTCATTCATCATTTTAAAAGGTTACCTGCTTTCCCTACTGTTACTATCACACTTCCTGTCATCACCAGATGGGTGTGGCCTTGGCTATAGCTACACGTTTATTTTGTTCTGGCTGAACAGTGGAATCACACACACACACACACACACACACACACACACACACACACACGTGATGTACTCTACTCCCAGATTCCATCTCATGGAGTACTCTAAAGATTTAGTTCTTTGTTCCACTTGCTTTTTATTATAACCCTCCTGTCAATGACTGGCACTTATCTGTAGAAACTACCTTCAAAGTATACCACGATTAAAATCTCTAGGAGCTGGGCCTTTACCCCTACCATCCCTAAGCCTCCTGCCTTCCTGCCTTAGCCATGGTCTTGTACCAAGTTCATACACACCCTCCCCCCATTTAGGTATGTTATTTTCCTTTTGGGTGCTCACTCTAAGGGGGCTCCTGGTTTCTCTAACAGCTCAGAAGTCTTGGGCCTGGAGTGGTGTAGAGTGGGCCATGCCCCACAAAGGGGCCCACACCAGTCTGGATTCACAGCAAACAATTTAGGCCTCTGTCCCTGGGGTTCCCTCTACACAAAGAAAATTTATGGTCAACTGTTTGGAGCTCAGAGCCATTTTCCTAAGGAAACAACAGAAAAGGAGTATGTTGAGAGAGAGAGAGAGAGAGAGAGAGAACTCACAAAAGTCCATTTGACTCACTTACCTCATCTGGAGTTCTAAATGTACTCCAGAACCTACCTAACAGTACAGCACAGTTCTACTGTCTCTATGGGAAAATGAGCTCTGAGTTCCAGCCGTGAACATACCTGTGTCTCTGCTATCAGCAGGGACAGGCCAGCATTCACCTTCCGCAGCCTGCCAACCCAATGGTAGGGAAACGCCAGAAGCCTAGAATGTTTTATTTTTAAGAAAGGGGTTTGGGTGAGGGGGACGCTGGGAGGAGGAACCAGACTGTAGAGGGAGGAGAGCTGGGGTGGAGGGTGGGAGAGCCCAGCAGCCTCTGGGTTTTAGGGTCTTCCAGAGACACAGGCTGCTTTCCTGAGCTTCTCCCCACAAGACACGCCTGGTCCGCACTACAGCATTAGCGGGTAGGAACTAAGGAAAATGTGTCTGTGGTCTGTGGGTTTCTAGGTGAGGTCAAATAAGGAGTTAAAAAAAAAACCAAACTTTTAAAAACTAAAGCTAGGTTGATATTGTGATCAGTACTATGTTTGTTAAGGAGGTCAGATCAAATTTAATACCTATACCGTAGCTTTCTGAATTATACAACCCACAGAAATACTTAACGTTTATAAGTCCCCTTGGATGTGACCCTTTTGCAGACACGAGAGAACGTTTCACCTCTATGTCCAATCTCTCTCTCTTACTTACACTTTAATTAATACTTGGCTTCTGTGGAGTCAGGGTAAATCTGCTTGCAAATAAAAAAATTTAGTGTGGAGAAAACAAGCATGAGCCTCTATTTTATTTCCTTGGATCTGTTTGAAAGGCCAAGAAAAAAAATGTTTCCCTAGGTTGTGGAGTAGGGAAAGGGGTGCAAAAGGTTTCCATACAGTAGTCCCCCCTTATCTGCAGGGAATAGGTTCCAAGACCCCCGGTGAATGCCTGAAACCACAAATGGTACTGAACCCTATGTATGTTTTTTCTATACATACATATCTAGGGTGACGTCTTATTGATAAAGTAGGCACAGTACGAGATTAACAATAGCTAGTAATAAAAAAAGAACCATTATAAATTGATGTAATGTAATAAAAGTTATGAGAACCTCTCTCCAAATATCTAATTGCCCTGTACTCACCCTACTTGTGATGATGTGAGATAAGAAAATGCCTCTGTGATGAGAAGTCGGGTGAAGGATGCAGGATTGTGACATAGAGGTAGGTAACCACTGACCTTCCTTCTGACCCGTCGTCAGCAGGACCATCTGCCTCCAGTTGGCTGTTGATGGGGCAGAAACCAAGGAAAGAAAAACCGCAGACAAAGGGGGACTGCTGTATTTTTAATTGCTCCTGTTAGAAGGCTCAGAAAAGTAAAATTTAAATGACAATAGTGATACGTAAGCGAGTTTTTTTTATTGCAAGTATGGATGGATTTATTTATTTTTTTGTAGGTTTTTAAATTTTAATTCCAGTATAGTTAACATACAGTGTTATATTAGTTTCAGGTGCACAATATAGTGATTCAATACTTCCATTCATTACTCACTGCTCACCATGCTATGTGAGCTCTTTAGTCCCCATCACCTATTTCACCCATCACCCCACCCACTCAATGGACTTAATTAAGTGTTGTTTTCTCTTATTTAAGTCCACTTTTGTAGTCTACATTTTTTTAAGTTTATTTATTTATTTTGAGAGAGAGCACGTGCAGAGGGAGGAGCAGAGGGGGGTGGTGGAGAGAGAGGAGAGAGAGAATCTCAAGCAGGCTCCACGCTGTCAGGGCAGAGCCCAATGCAGAGACTGATCCCAGGAACCAGGATCTCATGATCATCACCTGAGCTGAAATCAAGAGTTGGATGCTTAACTGACTGAACCACCCGGCACCCGTCTTGTTCTACATTTTAGATATTATGATGTCAAACTGCTTTCGCATGACCACATACCAGAAGTGAAAAAAGAAAAAGATGGCTTAGAAAATTTACCAGATTCAGGAAAGGTTGGAACCGATGAGCTATTTTACATGCCAGAATCCTAGTAGTTTTGGTAGTGGATTAACAGATTAATAGTTCCATAACTTCTTAGATTCAATAAATTCAACAATATCTTCTGAGACATTCTGTACTAAACAATGTAGTGTGTGATGTGGAGATAGACACACAAAAGCACACTGTGGGCCAAAAAGGCCCCATCACCTGTGGAGTTTCTATGTCTTTATTCAATTTACATGTATGACAAAGTAGAGATCTCTGTTTTACATGGAACCAACTCCCAAACCAAGTTGCCTCTTGCTTTCTGAAAGGAGAGAAGGGGCGGGAACCCAGGTGAGCTCTGGGAGATGGCTATTATTTGAATAGACTGAAAGGTCACTTTGGAGAGCCCGGATAGGTCAAGCTCAGCCCTCACAAGAGACTGTGAAGAAACTGGCCTGCTTGAAGCAGGGAGGGGTGTGGTGGCGGGGGGGGGGGGGGGGGGGG